TGTAAAAAAAAAAAAATTGAAAAACTCTTCGTAGGGGGCAGGTATTTTATGTGTAGAAAGTGTGTACCAAGTTTAGAATAAATCGGTAAAGTAGTTTTTAAATATCAGTGAACACGGAGTTTTAAAAAATGATTATGAGAAAAACACGTTTAAAGTGTTAAAGGCTAAAACAGAAGGAAAAAAATTATTTTTTCAGCTTACACGGAATCATTTATATTCTAGCTCCATAGAGTAGACTCTCTACAATAGTTTCGATGTCTTAAAGCCTCTTTTTTCAAGTATTTGCCTTATATTATATCACTGAGAACAAACGCTCGTTCCAACGTACATAACTAACTGACGGAAATACAGTTTTAAAAGCGAAGGAACTAACTTGTTAATAACTTTGTGAGTTTTGCTCTAATTGACTTCAAATTTTGGGAATATATTCTTGAGATATTTAACTACAAGAATATCAAAAAAGAAAAAATCGATTTTTTGAAACTGGAAACCCTTACCCCCCCCCCTTAAAGGCACGGGCGATATTTTTTTTTGCTCCGCGCCTGCTTCGTAAATTGATAATGAGAACTAGGTTATGATATCCAAAATTTGTACAAAAAAAATTTAAAATACAGCATTTGCAGGGGCTATTCCGGTACAACATTAAAAATAATTATTATACGAAAATTTATTTCCTAATGAGTAAAAAAAACTTCTGTGTTTCGATTTTATATACATAAATGACTTATTTTTGTGTCAGAAAATTGAAAATAAGTCAATTATAATTTTACAAAGTGTACAACATAACCTACAAAAAGTAACATTAATTTAACATGGTTTCAAGTTAATTAAAAAACTATTCGATTTGAAATATCTTAAAAAACAATTATGAGCCTTATTAAGTTATTATTTAAAATATCATTCCTAACCTAAAAAATTCAATAATTGTCATGAAATTCCTATAATAATAATAATTTTTCAGCTTTTTAAAATTTAGATACAGAATATATAGTTTGCATTTCCATATTCCACAAATGTTTCTATGTTAAGTTTTAATAATATAATAATAATTTCAATGATTCATTTGTAATTATTTAATTAATTTATTGACAATTTGAAAAAATTAATTTTTTAATTTTTTATATAAATTATTATTTAAAAGGATTATAACCTATCATTAGATAAAAATTTTTTTAAGTTATGTAGTTATTTTGTTATCACAGTCTTAATATATTTAAGAAGCAATATTAGGTAAAAGATTTGTAAGTGGCTGTGCGGTCAGAGTATCTGGCTCGCGTCTCAAGGGTCCTTGATTCGAACCCTATGCGCGTGGGATTTTTCAAAATTATTCTTGTGTTTTATATATACTGTATATATAATAATTTTATATTGATTATAAATTAGAAACAAAAAAAAATTGTAAAAAACAATCATTTATTTAAAAATAACTAAACCTAAAACTATATCGTATTAAAACTTTTTCAATCGTTAAATCAAATATTTTTATTTTATTTAATATTTTAATTTCAAATCTCAACATCTTAAATGACATTAAGACCAATACAACTTAATAAATTGCAATAAAAATGTTTGTTTAAACATAAAAATGTTCACTTGTAATATGTCATTAAATCAACAATTAGTCCCTCTGTCAAGCTATATATCATATATACACGAACATTATTGACTAAATAACCAATTTAAATAACATATCCAATGTCTAATAACACATCTCATATCTATACCCTATAACTATAATAAAACATCTAAATAATATCCCATAATCAACAAAAATGATTAATTGCATCAATTATATACAAACTTCACGAATTGAAACGCTTATAATTTTAATGTTTAGAAAATAAAATAATAATATACCCTTGAAAAATTGTGGAAAGTAAAATCATATTAATTATAAACAGACTCTAGTGAACTGTATGAAATTAGTTATGATACCCATCACGAGAAACAATTTTTAACTAAGCAATTATTTTTAAACCTAAGTAACTGAGAACTAACAATATATAAATAAAAAAAATATATATCCAAGAACATAATTTAATTGTATGATAAATTGTTCATATTAATTAAAACCATGATGCATTTTCATCTATTATTATATATATATAGGTGTAGATTTATATCTAGGTGAAACGTGAGAGACTGCGCTATTATGAAGATACCTTTCATTTAACCCTCAAATCCTCCAATCCTTTTCAGTCACGCTTCGTAATAATTGTCAGACATTTCACTTGCTTACCTTCACACTATGTCAAAGCCATTAATTTTACAGACACATTATGAGCGCATTAACCTGCGACGATTTTTCATTTGTCAACAAATAAATATACACAAGAATTGGCTTGTAGTTGATCAATTTTTTAATTAATTCAATGTGACAAATCGAATTGTCAAATTTTGATAATCGAATATTACTATATGTTTAATACATTAATTCTTTTTGATTAAACGATTATGGTTACGATTTTTATGTTTACAAATTAGTTACACCTACTATTTCAATTAATGTTTGTTACTATTTATTTTGAGAAAGGTGATTCAGGGTTCTTTTGGGTGTGTGCTAACAAAATTAATTAAATCTGTATGAATCTAAAAATATTGATCGTATTTGTTTTGGATGTAGTTTCAATCTTATAAATCTTTTAAAGCTTATTATCTATACACAGTAAAAACCTGGGTTCATTTTTGCTGCGTATCATTCTGAGTTCCGGATCAAAATGATTCATTGGCAAACTTCAAGTGAATCAAAATGATTCGCGCCAAGATTATAATTATTAAGTTGGTCTAAGTAATAGGGCGCCATCTAGTGATTAAGAAACAAAGCAATTCAAATTTAATATCAAAATTTAATTTAACAGCATTGACAATTTATTTATAAATGACAATTGAAACAATGAAAAAAAGTGTATAATAATAAAAGTCAATAAACATTATGTTATTATTAAAGATATTTATTCCGATGAAAATTTAAGTTTAAAAATTAAGTGAACTGGTTTGTCAATTTCTACTATTACTATTTAAAGAATTAATATTTCGATTGAAACTAAAATTATAATATTAAAATAATAATATTAAATAATAATTTAATTTTAAAAATTATTAAATAATTATTTTAATTATTAAAAAACTATTATTTATAATAATAATTTAATTTTAATAATTATTAAACAATAATATTAAATAATATTAAAATTTTTAATTTGTCAAAAAATTAATGATAATAGTTATCATTTTTTTTTTAGTAAATTAAAAATAAACAATAATAATTAATTAAAAAATTAAATGAAAATAATTTATCATTATTACTACTTTTGTTATATAACAATTAAAAATATTTAAGAATAAGAATTTTTTAGATTTTGATTGTTCCTTAATTTCATTGATTTAAAAATAATTTTGTTTATTAAATTATTTTAAATTTCAACAATTATTTATTTTTAATTAAATTAATTAATTACACACTTGTTCATTCAATTTATTTCAATAAAATAAAATCATATTAAAGCCTAATATAATTTAATCAGCGCTGACACAAGATTTTATTTTTCGCTGACTTTTCTCTGATTTCCAAACAGAATTTTTCCTTTTTCTCTGATCTCGATGAAACAATTTAAAGGGGTGTTAAAAAAAAGAATATTTTTTATGTAAAAAGTCAAATTAAAATATTTAGTGTGTTCAGCTGCTTTAAAAAAATGTATGGCCTTTACAACGGTTTTTAAAGTTTTAAATAAACTTTTAAAAGAATTAATATTTCGATTCAAGCTAAAATTAAGAAGATAACACAGAAAAAATGTAATATTTGTTTATTTGTAAATAACTTCAATTGTGACTCTTTGTAAAACTCAATTATTTTCAAAATTTTCATAAAATTAATAATAATTCAAAAAAAGTGATTATTACGATTAAAGTAAAAAAAATTTTAATTTTGAAATTAGTTTATGTCTTTTTCTTTTTGTAAGATATTTTTAACTAATTTTATAAAATATTTATATTTTTTCATCTTTTGAATTTCGCGCCATTATCTGTGGTTTTTAGACAGTAGCGCCGTTAATATTTGGTTTACGTTATTTGTAAACATAGTGTGAACGTTGTCACTCATGACCGTTCCTAACCTAAAAATCTAGTTTACTTTATTTAATAAATACAACAAACTCGGCAATAAATATTAAAGTTTTTCCAAGTGCAGTGTGTTTGCTTATTGGAAACAATCATTTTAATTCATATTTTTTTTGAATCATTACTTGTTATTCGATAATAATTGTCATTTTGTCTTTGAATCAAAATGATCCTGATCCGATTCATTTTTGCTGCGTATCAAAATGATCCCGGTAGCCGGATCATTTTGATCCCAGATTTTTATTGTGCAAAGATAGATTTTCAAAATTCAAAATGGCGGCTCCAAAATGGAGGACAGTCTTGCTGAAAAATTAACAGTTTTGTATGAAACTTGATGCCTAAGGGTTTTTAGGTTCGCTGATTACGAATCCAAAGTCTGACTTTCGGTCGACTTGTTATGGAAACAGTTGCTGTGGGAACGGTTACTATGGAAACGGTTGCTATGGTAACTGTAATCATGGCAACCATATGAGTGTACGACGGACGGACGGACGCCAAAGCGAAACTACCTATAAGGCTTTCGGGCTTGAGCCACGAAACCCTACAAACATATCCTAAAATTTGTTGTCCCTTTTTTAGGGTTTCGTAGTCCAGGGCTGAAAGCCTTATAGTTACGCTTTGGCGTCTGTCCGTCCGTCGTACACTCGTATGGTTGCCATAGTAACAGTTACCATAGCAACCGTTTCCATAGCTACCATTACCATGGCAACCGTATCCAACCGCTTATCATAGCAATTCACAAATAATGTAATTATAAATTATTTATTATATACAAATAACTTTTGATCTGAATTTAAAAAGCCATGAAACCCTAGATGCATTGCGCCTGCTTCTTTTCCTGATTTTCTTTTCATAATTTTTAAAATTATATTAACTGTACTTACTACGTTCCTCGAAGCAAATTGAAAGTGTAATCAAATGTGCTTGTTCTTCCAGGACCATCAAGGACTAGTGCACATTCTCCCCCATCACTGTAGTACTCAAGAGGTTGATATTGTATTCCACTAATGCCAACATTAAAATTTCCTATCAGTAGTGCACAAAAAGTAACGGACACCAAGATCCGAGTGATTGTGAACCTGAAATGATAAGAAAAAAAAGTTGCTTTGATTATAACCTTTTATTTTGTTTCAAAACGTAATGCAGATGGTAATCGTACATTATTACATAATCAAGAAAGTCAAGATTAAGAGACGCGGAAGGAGACGTGGAAAATAATCGAAAACAGAAAATATCTATTCTGACTACATTACACTATTACTCACACTTTCTATAAAAAACATTTTTTTTTTCATACTTCAAGCTCTCTCCATCCACACATGTATATGATGCAATCATTGACTCTTAATAAATCATCTAATGTCAAAAAAAAAATTATAATCCCAACTTTTGAGTTTATTACGTTAAATAAAAACAAAATCACAAAAAATTAATGGACAAAAAGAAATTAGTTTTAATTCTAGCTTTGAATAAACTATAATTTCAACTTTTGATTTTTATTTTCAAACTCTTATTTCGTTTCAGAAATAGAAATTTAGAAATAAAAACAGAATCATAAAAAATTAATGAATAATAAGAAACAGTTTAATAATTTTAAATGTATATTATTATTTGACCCTTGGTATTTCAATTTACTTATGTCTTTTTCCATTTTTCATTAATGTTATAAATTGAAACACAACTATTACTTTCTTTTCTCAGCTGCATTATGATATTTTTTTTTTAATATCTGTCCGTCAAGACATAGTGTATATGCAATGTATTAATATTTTTAATTTTTATATAAATCTCGACGTGAATCAAATATGAGATTTTCTAATTATTTATGCAAACTTGATATAATATTGAAGTGATGCAATTTTTGTAATAAACACATTTTTGCATACAATTTTTTTTTCCTGGTGTGTGAAAATGTATATATAAATTCTTTATCTCGTAAGACACTATATGCCCTATCAATTTTCAGTATCATTCTATAATTACCGGAATAGTGAACAAAAGTAATGTTCTCTTATAATCGGTCACGGTAAACGACCCACGCTGAACTAAATATAAATTGTCAAGGACGATCGTGTTCCTATAATATACATTATAAATTATAAGTAAATAGAAAAGTCATTCACTTTCGTTCTACTTCCGATTGGAATTAATCTTGTTTCAATTCTATAATGAATTATATTATATATCCCTGTATATTTCAAAAATATCTCGCCACCACTGCTTTGAAGGATTTATATGCTTTTAGGTTTGTTAGTATTTTAGTCCTGATTTTAACCTCAAACTCAGCGATTTTTTGACCTGAAAATTGATCTGATTTTAAGGTTATGTTCGCCGATTTTATAATCTCAAAACCAGCGGTCTCTTGACCTAGAAATTGATCTAATTTTAAGGTTATATTATCAGGTTTGATAGTATTTTGGCCCTGAATCTTTACAGGTCATAAGTCAAGAGACCGCTAGTTTACAGTTTTCCTAAAAGTATCAAATTGAGACCAAAAATTGCATCAAATCTTTGCAACGTTTTGATGCACATAAGTTATATCAAAAAGAGATCGTTTTGTGTATCATTTATAGAAATGATACACGAAACGGTCTCATTTTTTGATGCAAAACATTTAATCAATTTATATCAATCATGGACGAATTGAATCGACTTAAAATTAAACGAATTTTTTTCAGATATTTTGGTAATAGTACAATTGCGGAGACCATTTCACTATTTAATTTGAAAATGAAATAACAGAAAATCAAAGACAATGTGCAATTCGATAATTAAAAAGTAACAGCTTATAAACATAACCTGAAATGCATGAGAAAAAATTTGTCGATAAAATCAATATAGCCGAGCTTTTTAGAAGGTAGATGGCAGCACTCATCTATTTTCTTTCTTTAAATTTTTTCTGAATCGTTTTTATAAAAAGCAAAACTGCCATCTACCTTCTAATAAGCTCGGCTATATTGATTTTATCGACAAATTTTTTCTCATGCATTTTAGGTTATGTTTATAAGCTGTCACTTTTTAATTATCGAATTGCACATTGTCTTTGATTTTCTGTTATTTTCATTTTCAAATTAAATAGTGAAATAGTCTCCGCAATTACACTATTACGAAAATAACTGAAAAAAATTCGTTTAATTTTGAGTCGATTCAATTCGGCCATGATTGATATAAATTGATTAAATTTTTAAAAATGATACACAAAACGATCTCTTTTTGATATAACTTATGTGCATCAAAACGTTGCAATAGAAAAAGATACAACCAAGTTTACTATATTGAGATTAAAATATAACCTTAAAATTAGGTTAAAAAATTTCAGGATCAAGATCACGAAGTAGTACACAGTGCGAAAAAAATGACCCGCTGTTGGCAAAAATCTGCCGACAATACAAATCTAAACCGATTTGAATAATTTTTTTTTAAATACTCGGAGAGGTTTTTCCTATAACGCACAACTGCCCACAAATTTGATTTATTTCAAACTAACCTTAAAAATGACATTAATATATGAAATTTTAATATTAAGATGGTTTAAAAAATAATTTATTTTGGTATATCAGAGAGTATTATAAACCTTTTTTGATCACTGAATGCAAATTTGACATTAAAATTGCAAAATTTTTAAATTCAAAAAGGCAAATGCAATATGGTAAATTAAAAAATTAAAAATTCATTGAATTTGCTTGAAAGTTGTTACTCGAGGGTTTCTGGGATCGTTGATTACGAATCTGAAGTTAAATTTCAAAAATTCAAAATGGCGGATCTAACATGGCGGATGAAAAAAATTAAAAACTCATTGGATTTGCTTGAAAGTTGTTACTCGGAGGATTTTCGAGTCGCTGATAAGATACTAATAATAATAATCAAGATACTAATAACAAACCAAGATTTTAACTTCAAATCCAACGGTATTTTGGTCTAGAAATTAATCTAATTTTGAGGTTATGTTAGTTAACAAGTAATAAAATGAAAGTGAAAAAAGAAAGTGTAACTCAAAATGAAATTACATTATTGAACCACAAAAGTTAGAAAAAACTTGTTTCCAAAAGTAAATTAGTAAAATTTACTTTTACTGAATTACTTTTGGAAACAAGTTTCTCAATATTAACAAATAATAAATGTTTATTCTTACAAAAGAATTTCATTTACGTGAATAAAAAGTATATATATGTAAATTCTTGTTCAATATTAAACATTCAGCTTATTTTCTTTTCATTAACACATTTTTTTTTCTCTTTACATTTCAATTAGTTTTTATCATATTAATCGTGATGTTAATATATTTTGAAATGTTTTCTTGATTTTTAATTTAAAAAAAAATGCAATCCTTTTTTCTCTACAAACAAACTTATTGACAGAAATGTGTACATGAAGTTTCATAAAATAAATTATTATATTCAATCCCAGAATAAAAAGGCAAGTTGCACTAGGTAATTTACAGAATATTATTTATATAAAATCTAGGTTATCATTTAAGGAATTATTTCTCAGTGAGATTTTTTTTCTGCTAGTGATAAATTTATGTTGTTAATGGAATGCAAACAAAATCGACAGTTAAGAAGATTTTATATTCTAGATTATATATTTAGAAAGTAACCAAGGCCATTATTATTAATTATATGAGTAGTTTTCATAAGGAATATCAAAGTTTAACAAAAAGTATTTCGACTTTTATTAATTTTATCAAAATATTATCGAAATTTTCCCATTTCAGTTACACCTCACATTTAAGTGCCTATCATATAATATGGGTGATTCTATAGAAACTGGTAATTTTCGATAAAGAAATTTTTTTTCCAAAAGTAACTGGAAATTCGATTTTTTTTCAACAATTATTACTATATTTATTGGCATTAAATATATAGTTATACTTGAAGTGATCATACTACAAAATTATTTTTAAGGCCAGGTCCAAATGAGGCAGCGCCATCTATATTGAAACTAAAATTTTGGAAAATTTCCAACAGCCTTTTCTTGAAAACAAGAAGGTAAAATGCTTTTTTTTATGGATAATTGATTATTAGCAAGAAATACACCAGCTAAAACTTTTTTTGGGTTAAAATGATGAAAAAAATTTCATGTCAATAAATTAAATATGAGCACTTTTTTCACAAAAACTGTAACAGTACTTTCTCAGAAATTACAATCAAAAATGCAATTTCCATTTGGAAAATTAATAAACGCTAAAAAATACACCACCTAAGATTTATCAATCACGAAAATAACAAAAAAAAAAGTTTTTTAACATAACATATTTAACTAATTATGACAGCCGTTTAGCAGGTTATATATGTCAGCAGACGTTTCGCGATTTTGCCGACAGGAGGAAATTGGCGCTGTTACTAACCATCTGAAATACATAATCTACCAAAGGGCTGTCACAATCAGTAAAGCAGTATCAATATGTTAAATATTTAATAAAATTTTTTTTTGTTATTTTCGTGATTGGTAAATCTTAGGTCGTGTATTTTTTAGTGTTTATTAATTTTCCAAATGGAAATTGCATTTTTGATTGTAATTTCTGAGAAAGTACTGTTACAGTTTTTGTAAAAAAAAGTGCTCATATATAATTTATTGACATAAAATTTTTTTCATCATTTTAACTCAAAAAAAGTTTTAGCTGGTGTATTTCTTGCTGATAATCAATTATCCATAAAGAAAAAAGCATTTTACCTTTTTGTTTTCAAGAAAAGGCTGTTAGTAATTTTCCAAAATTTTAGTTTCAATATAGATGGCGCTGCCTCATTTGGACCTGGCCTTAAGCAATAGTTTCCTGTAATACTTATTTAAAATTGTCTAAAAAATTACATTTAATGTTTAATATTTTTGAAATTTCGTACAACAGAAATTTTTTTAGTTTTCTATTTTCTCTATGAAATCCCAGACGTGCAGATTGATGTCTTTTTAATTCCTCTTTTTTTTGCACACTCAACACATAATAAATTCATTTAACATTTTTCTCTAAACAATTTTCAAGTAGTTGTATATATATATAAATAAATAAAAAAAAATGAAATGTATCTCGACGTAATTTGACATTTGTTGCGTCACGGTAGAGCATGTGTTCTCTAATTATCGA